GCAGTGATCAATACCGTGAGACTGGGATTTTTCATCCAAGGTTATCATACTGGCAGAATCTTATACTTAATGAATAGTCATAGAAGTAAAATAAAGTGAAGAACACACACACACACACATGAAGATCTGCTGTGCTTCACAATGCTGCATCTGTCGTTTATTTCTGACTGTTTCTCTGATTATAATAGGAAGCGTCTCGTTTTGTTGCATCACGCCGTGTGTTAAACTGTTTCTGACTGAATCCAGTGCAGGCGTGTGTGTGTGTGTGTGTGTGTGTGTCATGAACTAGGTTGCAGTCGTGCCGCAGGCTCAGATTTACGTGGATCAGTCTGACGGAGCGTTTGACACGTTCAAAATGAATGAGCCTCAATCTGGCTTCGCTGAACTTTTATGAAACAAATGGAAGAAGGCATGTTCGTCACTGACTAGACGGAGGGAGAACACTGCACACACTCGCATACAAGTTTTTAGTTACACCTTACAACTTTACTATACAGTTGCGTTCCATAACATTGACATTCATTCATTTTCCTTCAGCTTAGGCTCTATTTCAGGGGTCACCACAGTGGAATGAACCGCCAACTATTTATGCATGTGTTTTTATGCAGCGGATGCCCTTCCAGCCGCAAACCAGTACTGGGAAACACCCATACACTCGCATTCACACACACACACACACACTCATACAGTACGGCCAATTCAGCTCATTCAATTCCCCTATATCGCATGTGTTTGGACTGCTGGGGAAACTGGAGCACCTTGGAGGAAACCCACGCCAACACGGGGAGAACATGCATACTCCACACAGAAATGCCAACTGACCCAGACGAGACTCGAACCAGCGACCTTCTTACTGTGAGGTGACAGTGCTAACCACTGAGCCACCATGCCACCCCCCTGAAGTAAGTGAAGAAGTGTGTGTGTTTAAGCTGTGCATATTAAACAAAAATAGTCAGTGATCATACTAAATTTGAGCATTGAACTTTGTAATGATTGCTATAATTCTGATATTTTACTTGATTAACATGCCGACTTAAGTCATTACCATATACGACTTTTTTATAATTCATCTGTGATTTTGTATTTGATCATATTTTGCATGTTCAATATGACTTAATATGTCCTCAATAATTCTAAATTTGATTATATTTCACACACTGCAAAAAAATGCTTTTCTTACTTAGATTTTTTGTCTTGTTTCTAGTCCAAATATCTGGAAATTCCTAAATCAAGAATAATTTTCAAGACAAGAAAAACATATTTTCTTGTTTTGAGAAATAATATGCCAATAATAAGTGAGTTTTTCCTTAAAACAAGCAAAATAATCTGCCAATGGGGTAAGCAAAATAATCTTACGTCAAAAGAAAAAAACAAGAATATTTTGCTTACTCAATTGGCGGATTATT